ACAGACTATAAGAGAAATATGAGTGTGAAGAATGTTAAACATTAAAATTCACAAAACAATTACAAACTTTCCAACATATTAGCGTGACAACTGTTGACAGACAAATTATTTCTTTTTCCGCTCCTCCTGACATCGTGGGCAATACCATTTCCCTTTGGGCTTTGTTTTCAGTTGAACACAGGCAAAATGGAACCACTCGATGGGGCACTGAAAACAGAAGCAAATGCTCATTGACAAGTACTGGTCAGTTGTATATGTCTGCTATAATTTGTATGCAGAAAGGAAGTTGTAGACAAAGGCAGGGGAGAACAGCTAAAAGCTGTCTTCCAAACAAATAACAGTATTAGTGACATCAATTTCATCAATACTATGAAACAAGATTGGCAAAAGTCTGCTCAGGGTAGGATACATGAAAAAATATCCATGTGAAAATACAGTGAGCACCCCTTAAGGTGATCTCGGGCGTGGCAAATTTATGACGAGAAGAACAATTTGCTTATTCCCGGGATATTTTTGGCTTGATTTCTTATCTAGATAAGAGACATTTCTGATAAAAAGAACATTTTCTTAGGTCCCCCATGAGTTTTCCTTATCAGGTCTGCACTGTACTTCCTTCTTCTGAAGTTGAGACAGTAACAATTGTCTTCGCTCAAAGACACTGAGACAGTAACATAAGATAATGTTGAGCCACTGAAATAAAATAGCATGATCAAAGCAGAAGACATAACACAGAGATGAATGGAGGCAGGTGATATCTACAACAATTTACCTCAATGGCTCAGAATACTTAAGAAGAGGAAGACGGCAAAAATCAAAGCCTACCTCTCACATGAGTAATTACTCTCCTTTTAGTGACAAACATTCTCAACACCATTCGCATGAAGCTCTTAGTCACCCATGCTACCTTTCTCATAGAGTTTGTCAGTTGTCATTCAATTTTCCAGTTTACCTTTTATAACACTCAGATGATTCCCAACTGTCAACTTATAAAGAAATTTGTGGTTGTCATGTGCCTTTTCAGGGCTACCTGTGTGTCTCTTAGGCCACCAAACATACAGTGTTATGATGTCTGGCTTTCTCAGCCCATCAAACATACAGGGTTCTGATGTCTGGTTCTCTCAGTCCATCAAACATACAGGGTTTTGATGTCTTGTTCTCTCAGTCCATCAAACATACAGGGTTCTGATGTCTGGTTCTCTCAATCCAACAGACATACAGGGTTCTGATGTCTGGTTCTCTCAGTCCATAACACATACAGGGTTCTGATGTCTGGTTCTCTCAGTCCATAACAGATACAGGGTTCTGATGTCTGGTTCTCTCAGTCCATAACATATACAGGGTTCTGATGTCTGGTTCTCTCAGTCCATCAAACATACAGTGTTCTGATGTCTGCATCTCTCAGTCCATGACACATACAGGGTTCTGATGTCTGGATCTCTGTCCATGACACATACATGGTTCTGATGTCTGTTTCTCTCAGTAAATCAAACTGTGTCACTCAGTCCTTTCAGCCTGTGTCAAGCCATCTCTACACTGTGTGTCAGCCAGGGCCTACAGCCTGCACCTTAATTAACATTAAGTAGCTAAGGTTCTGAGCTGCAAGATGTCACTGCTCCTGTCACATCAATCATGTCAGAACAAGAGCTTTGATCCTATCACTGGTACCTGTCCCCAACAACCAATGAGAAAAATCCTGCCACAGGTACCAGTACTCAACAACCAATGAGAAAAACTCTGCCACTGGTACCTGTCCTCAACAACCAATCAGACAAACTCTGCCACTGGTTCCTGTCCTCTACAACCAATCAGACAAACTCTGCTACTAGTTCTTGTCTTCAACAACCAATCAGACAAACTCTGCCACTAGTTTATGTCCTCAACAACCAATCAGACAAACTCTGCCACTGGTTCCTGTCCTCTACAACCAATCAGACAAACTCTGCCACTAGTTCCTGTCCTCAACAACCAATCAGACAAACTCTGCCACTAGTTTATGTCCTCAACAACCAATCACTCAAACCCTGATGCTGATACTCACATCCAGATTATCACAACCAATCATTTCACCGTAGGAAACCTGGTTACATAAACAGTATGTGGGCTCATTTGGGTCAACCGGCATGTCCAGGACATCAGACGGATGAGCTGACAGTTGAAAAGGACTCAGAGGTGTGACTTCAACTTCTTCTCTGAAAAAAAGAAGTCAGAGTGAGCAATTTAGCAACTAAACGAGATGCAAATGTCTGGAGAAATAAAAAAGACAATCAAACAAATCAGTGGATAATAGAATAATGGTCACGTGAACGTGTGGTATCATTACCATTATCATGTGCCTGTCACAGAACATGTAGGGTCTTCTTCATCTGTCGCAACACTGTTACCAGGTTATAGCCCATCACTGTGGTTTTCTGCATTTATTTATCTTGACCTTTTTATGTAGTCTGAGTGATGAACCTATTCACCTTGTTGCAGGGTCTAGCGACATTGTCTATCTATATCTTCCTTAGTCTTCCTCACGATGTGCCAGATGTTCTGATGTGGAAGGTCTCATAGGTCTCATATACAGCTTGGTCTGGCTGATGTTGGGTCACATCAGTTTTCCCTTCTCTTTCTGGAATAAGGCTGCAGAGCCATTCTCCCACTCCTTGTCAAACTTCCTGTACCACTTAAAACAAGAGAAACAATGGTACCTTGATATACATCCTTTTGCTAATAAGTCCTGTTTAGATGTGAACAATTTTGCTTGGCATATGACCTTTGTTTGGAATCGCTCACCAGAATGAAAGACTCAGGAGTTAAGAACGGTATAGCCACAAGCGAGAGTCACATCGGGCATACAAAAAGATTTATCAGTCAACAAAGAACTGGTACTATTAGTCACAGGACGCTGGGGTTCATAATGAGGGAAGGATCTGAGCACCTATGGACATGTCGGGAGTGCAAAAAATCATACCCCAACTAACTTACTAACTAACTAACTAACTAACTAACTAACTAACTAACTAACTAACTAACTAACTAACTAACTAACTAACTAACTTTGTTTGGAATATGACTCAGGTGCTAAAACTTGAGTCAAAATTAGTCATGACATCACATGCTACCCTCTTTCACCTCTCTCTCGAGACAAAACCCCGACTGCCTAACACCCCAACGAAGCCCAAACAAGCTGTAATAGTACTGGAATGACCAGACAATGTCAGGTCTCCAAAACATCCTGAGGAGAAGGCAGCAGCAAAGTTCTTTAGGCAGATTTTACTAAAAGTCAACTAGGGAGCCTCAACCAGGTTCAAGTATGGAAAAGAGAGGAAGAAAAAAACATAAAGAGGAAAAAGCACAAGAATTCCAGATTCCAGAAGTTTTAATCAAAGAGGACTCTCCTTTCAACATCTCCTCCTCCTCCCTTCTCAGTACCACCCAAGTGGGTACTCAACTATTTTTAGCAAGGTAAAATTAGGTTTAATTTGCATTTGTTTCATGTAACTGCTTTTGTATTTATGTATTTTAGTACTAAGCATGTTTATTTTATACAACCCTCATCAATGAATAATATACCAATAACAATAGGATTTTGTGTTCATCAGAACAGATTAATTATTCTCCCTTTATTTCTTATTGGAAAATTTGTTTGGTATACGACAGGTAGGTATCTGTACCAGGATCTGGAATGGATTAGCAACAAATACTGAGGTCAGACTATTTGTTTTTTCCCCCAAACATTTCCACGTTTGAAGGTCAAATGGCTATAGGGTACTAGTTATACATGTGTCAATATCACAATGGCAATCTTGACTTCCCAGAACACTTCCTGTAATCCATTTGCCATACAAGTTACATCTACATTACCATCAAACAACCAACAAGATATTACGTACTCTTCTGGAGCTCCTTTCTTTTTCTTTTTCTTGGGAATCTCATCTTCAAACTCTTCTTTGATGCTTTTCTTCTTCTTTTTGTCCTTCTCCGTTTCTGAAATAAAGTAATCACACAAAATTGAACTATAACATAACATAACCTTTGACCCATTAGGGTTGTGGAGGTGTACTGATGGAAGCACTAGCAACAACAATAAAAAACCACCATCTTTCTCTTCATCTTGATGAATAAGTGTATGATAACTTAGTCCTGTCCATTTCTTGATGTTGTCATTTGAGGTTCTTCTTTGCCCTCCTCTTCTCTGACTACCCTCCGATGTTCCTTGAAGTAGTCTTTGCAACTGAATCATGTCACTCCAAGTGCGCGAACCAAGCTCACTTCTGACATTTCACCACTTCCAAGAGAGGTTCCTGATGTCCTGCAAATTTGTATATTTTTGTCTCTTGACATTTTAGTTTAGGAAAACAGCATGCAGCAGTCAAAAGGGAGGTGAATTTAGAAAAGGAGGAGGAAGAAGATGAGAGAAAGAATAAGGAGGAGAGCAAGAAAAAGAAAAAGTATTAGAAAGCCTCAATGAAAAATTGTGGCACTAATTCTGAAAAAGGGGAGGACCATAGTCAAGAGGCCCCCGGCTAACAGGTCCCTGGCTCACCTAGGTGGATGGACTCACCTAGGTCAGTTTATGGTCCTTGAAATGCAACTGGCCTAGCAAGCTGGCAAGGGATTATTCTACTGCTTAAAGAAACAGAATGAAGCACAATATGTACAGACCAAGTGGGAATTAACAGGCAGCCCATGCAAACGATGGACTTAGGGAATATGAGTACCGGGGACTATACACAAAACACACAAACAGACAATCTCCCATAATTTATACTTCCCTTTGACACCCATACACAAACAGACAATCTCCTATAATTTAACTTCCCTTTGACACCCATACACAAACAGGCAATCTCCTTCTACGTATATTTTCCTTTGACACCTATACACAAACAGGCAATCTCCCAATTTTTATACTCCACTTTGACCCCGATACATAAAGCACACAAACAGCCAAATTCCAATTATTTATATTTAGGAACAAGAGCATCATCTATGAAAATACCAAACTAACACTACTTCTAGCTCAAAAAGTAAAGCCAGCCATCACAAAAACAGCATAAGTGCTGACAAGCGTCACTAACAGAGATACACTCACTTTTTTTGGCAGCTGTTTTCCCTTCTGGCATTTCCTTACGTCTGCCAGAACTCTTGTCCTTCAAATCTGCTTCAAACCTGGCCAGTTCTGCATCCAGCTTTCTTATATGCTTGTCCACCTGTGATCACATGTCACACAGATACATATATTTACACACACATATAATCAGCCGCAAACTACATACAATACCACACCAACAGCAGAAGGAAAGTATCACAGAAGATTATTTCTTATATACAAACAAAAAAAGTACTGTAAATAATGATGACACAAACTATATATTGTAGAATTTATTGCCTGGCATATTTCTGCTTTATCTTGTCAGGCGCTTAACTCTTTGAGTCCCAGAGGGTTTAGCATCAGAGGCCCAAGGGGTGGTCAGGAGAGACGTAAAATCGGCGCATCTTGCGTTCATTGGGCCTATAAGTAGGAACATATGAATGTATGATGCGTTCCTTGGGACTCAAATAGTTACTGATTAATGATTGAAGAATTGACATCACAGCACACTGGGCGTACCCATAGGGTCTTCGTCCCCTGCAGCAAATGTCTGAAGGTGTAGATGCTAACTATTCCTATAGCATATCTTATCTTTTCAGGTGTAATACCAAAGAACTGACATCAACATACAATAAAATATAACAATGTGTTATTTCCTCTGAAATACAGAAATCAAATAGTCTCTTGTTACACTGCACAAATCACCAAAGAGTTTTAAGAATATGGAATTAAGAATCGACATCACAGCACTCTGGACACTCCCATAAGGGCTCCGTCCCCATCTTCAGCAGAATGCGAAGAGTTCCAATTCCAATGGCACCAGTAACCATTTGATTGTATATCCATCTCATCCCTTCCCCTGAGTGGTGAACGTCGGCCAGATCCCCTGGTAACTACTCGCAGCGTCAAGCTCCTCAGACCATAATGATCTATCTGCGCATCCACACTGTTCACTCGTTCCCAAAGGGCCCTCACAATATCTAGCTTGTCATACATCACTTCACCACCGTGGTAAAGAACCAACCAGTCTATCTGCCTGCTCATTTTCAACACACCGGCATGACCTGGAGAAAATATCCAAAGGATGCTAACTGCCCGGGACCTCTGTAGTGATGCTTGCCACTCTTCGCAAAGCATGCCTGTCTTCACCTTCCTCAACATGGTCTGTCAGTAGAGTTTTAAGATAAACCAGGTGATCCTTCTGTTAACACAGCACAGGACTGGCTGTCCTAAATGCCACTGCTTCCAGATTTCAACAGGCGCCTGTCAATCCCTATCAATATTGTGCCCAGAGTCTAGCAGAAGACATCATATGCAACAATTAGGCTCTATCCTCTTGGTTGATCTTGATAAATAGTTGCATCTGAGATAAGGTTGAGTTGAGTTGATTCAAGAACTGACATCACAGTACTCGGGGCATTCCCATAAGCGCTCCATCCCCATCTTCAGCAGCCAGTGAAGAGTTCCGATACTAATGGGGCCAGCAGCACTCTGATTAAACGTCCGTCTCACTCTCTGCTGAATCAATTTCACCAGACTGGGGTGATTTATCTGCTCCTCTGAACTGTATACGCTCTCCCACAAGGCACTTACCACGTCTGCTTTATCATGCATCAGTATTCCACCATGTTGTGCAGAGCCAGCCAGTCTGTCTGCCTGTTCATTTCCCAACACATCAGCATTCTCGGTGAAAATATCAAGACAACACTCCTCGCTCGTGTCCTCCGCAGTGAAGCATGCCACTTTGCATGAAGCATGCCTGTCCTGACCTTCCTCAGCATACTTTGTCAGTTACAATCAGGATGTGTTTGTGTGTGCTGTGTTCTCTAACCAGCGGAGTGACTGCCTCCACCTCCATACTTAAGCTGTATGTTGTGGTAAAATATGCTAGGCTCTCGTGCACCAGATGTCGACCATTAACTTTTGCTAAGAAACACCAGGCACTTCTTTTGCCTCTTGACACTGAACCATCTGTGTAAATGATCACATCCTCTTGAATTATAATTGCTGAATTTCCACCTCTCCGGCACCTGCTGGCCAGTCTCTGCATTCCTGGCTCAGTGTGATTATGACCCTACACAAGTCTGACTGTTCAGGTGGCACTTTGACCCACTCCTTTAATCGCCTAATGTTCTCAAGGATGCAAACCTGTCTGATTGTGTCTTCTGCCTGAGCCATTCACAACTTCCCTCTTATCAGCCGCTGACCCTAAACTGCACCCAGAGCTTCATGCAAAAGGTGATCTGTGTCTGCAGTTACCTTGAGAAATGACTTTGCCTGCAGCACCTTGTACCTACCTCCAACAGTTGGCAAACCAAGGATAAGGTTGTGGTTGGCAAGAGAATTAACTGCAAACACAAACACACAACAAGGTGGTAGTTGGTGAAAGAAATAACATAAAAGAAGAGCATCACGTGCAACCATCAGAAACATTACCATCTCATACGTCTGCATAGCAAGTGACACTTTATCGTCTCCATATTCTCGACTCTTGCCAAACATGGACTCAATCTGGTTGAGCTGGTTGGTTCTTTTCTCGGGTGACATATGGCGTACTTTGTTGAGATAATCAGTGGCTGCTTTATCAATTTTCTTCATTAGATCTGGAATTGAGAAACAACAGTTCTCTCTGAGACTCTGAGGCTAGACATGCCATCAGATATACCACAATATAAGGTCAATCACAGTTTAAGCAAATACATAATATATCTTGATGCAAATTTCATTCACCTTATACTAAACATTGACAGAACCGACACCTTTTTCATCAATCATAGCAATGTTTCCCGGTTGTAAATTTCAACAAAGAAGATAGATACAAAGATTGCACAATAGTTGCATTTCTACTTTAGCTGTAAAGGATTCACTTATTTTGCTTAATTTTTTTTTAAATGTTACTGTAATATGTACATGACAAGACACATCAAAGTATCCCAGGCAATACATAGTACTATCTACTGTCTTCTTTGTTCAAATCTATTTCATCGTTACAGACGCCACACCAGCAAGTATATAAAAATAAAATCAATCTGGTTCCTGCTATTTCTATCCAGTGAAGTCAAGTGAAAATCTTAGTCTTTAAATTAAAAAAAAATGGGCCTCTGATATTTCTTCTTTCTTTAAACTCAAATTTTTTTTAAAAGATTCATTTTCCCCTGAGAATAGATATAAAAAATTTTTTTCACCTCCTCGTAGGATGTAAAATATTTCATTGAATAAATCAGCTTCTGAACAGTCAGCTGTCTTTAACTGTCAAAACCAATGCAAGTATATGGATTCTGGTTCGCAACGTCTAAACCACAGACGCCGAATGATTGGTGCGACACAAAATTGATGTATGGTGATGAAATTCGGTCGCTGATTGGGACTGTGTAAATTGACAACTGTAGATAAACAAATTCTCCTGTTTGGGTCACAAGTGGTCTTGAATGTTAAAAAATAGTTGTTCTTTCAAGCTCACTGCCAATAATGATAATAGTAAACAAAATATTATAAATGGATATGTGATATTCAACTACGAAACTGGGCTTTCTGGGGAAGAAAAATGCCTACCGATACTAAGGATAGGACTCCTGATGTTGAATGCAGTGGTTGTACTCACTGACATCTGTCTACTCTTCCAGCAGCAATGACTGTTCCAAGTCCCTGTGACGTTTAATGTGGGCCAAATATCTGAGTTTCCGAGGCATGCTACTGTTTATGAGCCAGTTTCCTATCATGTTTCTTACCTGTCACTTTAGAGTGCTCGAACGCGTGCACACACACACAAACCTATTTCAAGGTTTTTTTATGTCAAAGTGAAGCAGCCTACCTTGAGATCGCTGGTCCAAATCTTTCATGAGATTGAAATTCCGCTGCATTTCTGCAGGCAGAGATTCCAGACCTGAGAAGAATTAGAATGTACCAGATAAATTTATGGCAAGAGAATCTTAGCACTGTGCTTCCACTCCATAGAAGTGACAAGGATCCACATGTGTGCATTTACCACATTAACTTGTGCTATAAATATTAACTTGTGTGTAGATTTTCTCATTAAGTCTGGGCAGCTGTCTATCTGGTCTGCTCTGTTCGGTATCTGATTTTCAAGTGTTGCATATTGGGGAGGGGGGGGGGGGGGGGGAATCATTCTCACAGTAGTGGAACAAGCTAGCTGCAGAAATAGTAGTGCAGGCAACAGTAGTAGGAACAGCTGCCTTCTTCTGCAACCTTCTTCTGCTTGTTACACCAGAGTAGAGCACGACCTCTTACCCAACTGACTTTAGTTCAAGCCCTTCCAATCCTTTGTTGTCTCAAGGTCTCTCCAACTCTAATTTTTTTTCTCTGTGATTTTATGCCCCTGCCTCCTCTATGTGTCTGCGTGTGGGTCTGCGTGTCTACAATGTTCAATCACCATCCAGTGTATTGCCAAATGGCTGTACTTGCCTAAATTCAACATCACTGGCTTAGACTGTACACTGTGTAGTGTCTAATTTCTTAAATGATACACATATAAAGGTTGACAGACACTAGTAAATTGTATACAACAATCCCTAGTCATAAAAAAGAATGACATGTCCATCTATTTCATTGAATGCAGTGATATATTTACCATTAAAAAATAAAAAGGTACCTCATGTTTGATTTCACTCTGATGTTATTTATATGGCATCATACATACATACATAACATAATCCTTGACCCATTAGGGTCGTGGAGGTGTACTGAGGGAGCACTAGCACATAAAACCTGCCATCTTTCTGTCTATTCTGCTTGATGAATAAGTACATGATAACTTAGTCTTGTCCATTTCTTAGACATTTCTTCATACATACAATGGCCAACAATTTAAAAAAAAACATTTTTTTTAGCGATTCTAATAATACAGATTTACTTTTTAATGACTATTCAGCCATGGTGTAGTGTCTAGATGCTCACCTGCGGATCGGAAGGTCATGGGTTCTAGTCCAGAAGGAGCCAGACTTTAAAAAAAAAAAATGACTCCCAGCCTTTAATAGGTACCAGGCAACATCTGGGAAGTAAAGGCGTCCGGCGTGATACTGACATAATCCATTGAAGGCCAACTGGTCTATAAGATATGTCTAGCCCTATAGGCCCAGTATGTCTAGCCCTATAGGCCCAGTATGTCTAGCCCTATAGACCCAGTATGTCTAGCCCTATAGGCCCAGTATGTCTAGCCCTGTAGACCCAGTATGTCTAGCCCTATAGACCCAGTATGTCTAGCCCTATAGACCCAGTATGTCTAGCCCTATAGACCCAGTATGTCTAGCCCTATAGACCCAGTATGTCTAGCCCTATAGACCCAGTATGTCTAGCCCTATAGACCCAGTATGTCTAGCCCTATAGACCCAGTATGTCTAGCCCTATAGACCCAGTATGTCTAGCCCTATAGACCCAGTATGTCTAGCCCTATAGGCCCAGTATGTCTAGCCCTATAGACCCAGTCAGTATATTTACAGAGGATGGAAGAATGGACAGAGAGATAGAAACAAGAATACAGAAAGCAAATGCTGTCACATACCAACTATCACCTCTGCTTAAACATCCAGATATAACCATGAAGACCAAAAGACAATTGATAAACACCATCTTCATTCCAACACTCTGCTACCAGTGCCAGACATGGACAATCAACAAGATCCACGAAAGAAAAATAGAAGCCTGTGAAATGAAATGTCTAAGAAAAGCAGCGAATAAGACCAGACTAGACAGGATAAAGAATATAGACATTAGAAACACTGTCAAAAACTACACCATGTTTAGACTACATAGAACATCAAAGAATGAAATGGTTTGGACATCTAACCAGGATGAATAATGATCAAATAACATCGCAAATTTTCAACCAAAGAAGCTCAGGATATAAGGCAAGAGGAAGACCAAGGAAACGGTGGATTGACGGGGTCTCCGAAACCTGCCAAAAGCATGGCCTCAGAACATCAGATGCTGCCCGCCTTGCTTACGACAGGAACTTGCATCTCCCCACAACGCTTAGCGGCATACGTGGAAGGAAAAAGTAAAGTAAAGTAAGTATAGACCCAGTATGTCTAGCCCTATAGACCCAGTATGTCTAGTCCTATAGATCCAGTATGTCTAGCCCTATAGACCCAATATGCCTGAAGGCATGGAAAAGGGTCCTTAATGTCTATTAAAAAGTATGAGATCTATGGTAGACCTTCAAAAATAAGAGGGGTTAGCAGGCTTTATCTGAGACATACCATAAACAGTAAAGCATGAACCCGCTTATAAAAACTCAATTCTTTTTTATTTCACCCCATCTTGGTGACCCCAAGATTGCATGGGAATTCCTGGGAAAGTATAATAATATGAGGGGGGGGGGGGGGGGTGTTAGGGTTGGTCGGTGTTTATTTCGCACCCTAACACCCCTACACTGCTGGACTTTCTTTGGAATTCCCTATGTAATCTCCAAGTCGCCAAGATGGGGTGAAATAAAATAAAAAAGCCTCAAGGTCCCAGTGACCATTTTATTAATTTTATTAGTTCCTACTTGACAACATTTTTTTTTAAATACAAACGCTTGCTTTTTTTTAACCTACTGGAATTCGCGTTTACGAGGTTTTACTGTACTATAAAATAAACAGCATGAAGTTTATATTTAAATGGTAGCCCCGCCCATATTGAGTGGGCTTCCGCCTGACAGCAACAAGTCGGGACTGTGGTAGTAAGTAAACAGAGGCACAACTGAAAAAAGCGACCCTTTAGGACGCAATCTATTACAAGTTACTGATACAGTTACCAGTATCTTCAACGTATATATGCACAAATAGGAGTTTTAACGACTGATTCATTGAAGTGATGGATAATTAATTTTTAAAAAAATGTAACGCTGAACTGAATGGCGAAATCGGGAAGAACGACACTCGACAGAGTTCTCCAATTTCAGCCTCGAACACAAAGGCTATGCTATATTTGCATGCCACTTGTCTGAAAGATGTTTAAATGCGCACTGTTGTGTGGAGTATTAAGAGAAAGATGGCAGATATAAGAGAAATGAACCTACTGTCTAAATAATGCTCCAGGTACATCGCCTTGGCCATGTTTCTGGCAGACGACATGTGTCACGTGATAGTGCAAGATTTTCATTTTCCGTCATTTGTCAGTATCGCAGACTAACTGTTGATGATGGCTGTGCTCAACTATTTTGTCCAGTGTGACTTCAGTAATTGAATTACTAATTCGCATTGTATCACCGCTGTACAGTTCTGGATTGTTAGACCTGTCCTATCCCTGCTAGTGGATCTGATGCCTAAGTTACTGACAAATCAACTCGTTTCTTAAAATGATCTTCTCTCTATTAAGTCATCCGTACACTCCATCTCCTTTCGGTGTCAAGGCCGCTTTCAATAAGACTTTCTCTGTAGAGGTTGGTTAACGTTAATCTCACTACTAGTCTGCCATCACGTGCATTTTTCTCCCCGCTCGTTTCTGCCGGACGATTATAGCGCTCATACCGCGTGTTGTATATTTCACCATGCCAGAGCTTTTAACACTTCTAAAACATTTAGATACTGGGTCTAACACAAAACCCCCCAAAAGAGTGACAAAACCTATGTCACAGGCCATCTCTTTCTTGAAAACAACAACGTAAATACCAGACAACAACAGACACCGACAACCTCAACCACGGTAGACTAGTGCAACCAACTTATCAATGGAGTTGACCTACAACTGGTGGTGTGCAAATGGGGAGACCATCGTAAAAATAACCCTCTTCTTTGTTAAACTAGGTTTACATAAGGTCATTCACCTGTGTTGCAAGCAATCATGCAAATTTCATTGGGATTGGCCTCTGATGGTATTAACGCCTGGAAAAACCTGGAAGATCTAGTTAGGGGTCCTTTGTCTGCTGTGACTTGGGTCCAGCCTCATGACAATTTGTGATAGGACCCTCCAAGTGAATTCGATCTCCCAGTTAACTTGCTCACTTATAATGTCGCTTCTAAAACACTCAAAAGTTATTTTAAAACTTTTTTATTTGCAAAGTTGCTGTGTGTCTCTTTTCATGGCAGCAAACAAATAAGAAATTGTTCTTCCCCATGGAGCTTAACGGCAAAAGTGAAAAATGGGGAAGATGATGATCATGGCATTTGGCAAATCGATTGAATATTGTGTTCTATGGAGTCAAACTTCACATACTGCTTTCTCCATGAAAATGTGCAATTTTGTTGTCTTTAAACATGTTCGGGGATCTATGTGGCCAAATTGTATATCTGCACTCTGAAGGTTATGGTTCTATAGCTGTTGTGTGTGTGTGTTTCTGTGCATGTCAGTATGTGCACGCATGCATCCAGCCAGTAAACAAACACATCACTGTCAAAGGAGAAAACGAACACACACATAAAAGCAGACCCTTAACATAACTCTTTAAGTCCCAGAAGCTTTAGCATTACAAGCCCAAGGGGTAGTCAAGAGAGACGTAAAATCGGTGCATCATGCGTTCATTGGGCTTCTAGACAGTAACCTATGAACGTATGATGTGTTCCCTGGGACTCAAAGAGTTAAGAATATCTTTCTTCTAATGCTTCACCAGACAACAAAAACAACAACAACAAAAATAACTAGATTGTGTAGATATATTTTTCAGAGTGTTTTAATGATAATTTAAAATCATGTAAAATGTAGAAATTCTTATGTATAGGAGATAGATTGTAAACTTTATCGTTCTTTTGATTATGACAGTAAAATCAACTTGTAAAATCTCCAAATTAAAATTATTCTCATATTTCAACATGTAACTATGTCTGTTTCAACACACCACTCTTTAATATCTATGAAATTTATCATATCAAATAAGACAGCATCTTCATATCATACCAGACAGCAACCTCACATCATACCAGACAGCAACCTCTCATCAAACCAGACAGCAACCTTGCATCATACTAGACAGCACCCTCGCATCATACCAGACAGCCCTCTCACATCATACGGGACAGCACCCTCACATCATACCAGATAAAATTTGTACATCAGATGAGACAGCACCAACACACCAAACCAGACAGCACTCTCACATCTCTGGTACACAGAAAACATTAGCAATCCAGCATGTCATCTTTAACATCCCACAACACATTACCACTAGCTATACCAGACAGCAGATTCACATCCAGTCTTGCCACTTTGGATGTTTTACATCCCCAGATTTAGATTTTTTCCCTTGCATTTAGATGGCATTTTTGGTGTTTAGATGGTAGATATTTTTTTAAGATGTTTTTCATTTTGAGTGAATTTATCAAATCTAACCTAAGAAACAGGATGAAATTTGACCTCTTAAATGCTGTCTTGACAATAAAATTCGACCTGATAAGAGTAGGAAAAGGCTGTTCCACTTATCAGCTCCCTGATTGGGTATAAGAAGAAATTGGAACAGCTAAAGCATACCAGAGTCATTTTGGATCTGAAGCTTCAACTTTACCATCCAAGCTAAGTTTATCCTGTGGATTTTGTAAGGCAGACTTCAGTAAAGATAAGAACATGATTCTATAGCGTAAGTCATATCAGTTGCTAAGTAATTTGTGACTCTTTTCATTAGGATGTTTTTTCTAGAGGTTT